ATAAAACAGCTCTGAAGTCATAAGGTTTGAGATTTTGCTACGGCTTTTCGGGTGCGAAAACTTCTCGGGACCTTCGAAAAACGGGGCCCTGGTGCTTATGCGGGGAAGCCTCACTTTGATGCAACAGGAAGCGCCTTGGAAAACAGATGTAAAATAAATTTACCGCAAAATATCGCGGTGTGCGTGAATAGTCGGCAGCTTGCCTCTGAGAGCTTCCTGATAGTCATAGCAATTTTACTTGCACACTGCTGTCCAAGGGGGAAAGGCACAATGAAGTTAACCCTATGTGAAGCACTAACTCGTGAGACTGGGCCAGACAACAACACCGGGAACGCCGTGCCCTACTCTTTGCGATAGGTGTGTGGGTTCTTTAACGTCCCCTGCTAACCATGTAACAATGAAAATGCAGGAGATGGGGCTACGGTTTAGAGTCCTTTTCCGAGAAGACTGGAACGTCTAACCATTTGCAGATGTAATTACAAAGGCAGCACATTCTCCTCAGTTATTTTAAGACCCTGAGTGTTGGTCCGTTCTGTGGTTTTAACCATCGACCTCCCCCACAGCAGTCTGGCCCTCTAGAAACTGAGCTAACCAGGCGGCAGTTTGTCGTTTCACGTCCAAAACCCCAAACCCACAAAACAACTGCCTCAGCGGCTTTGCTTTTGTTGCTTTCCTCACAAATGGCGACTTACTGCGTGAAATAACTTTTCCTGCGTTTAGCCGCTTCCACCGGTTACATGTGTTTGCTTTGCGGTCTGATTGGTGTACTCTATTGAGCATTTTTTTGTCGCTATTTTGACGCTGGCGTCCCTGTGATTTCGTGCAAATTTGGTTTTACAAGTCCACTAACAGTGTAACTTATCTCATTGCTCACTCATTGCAACTGAAAAATAAAAAATCACTTATTTACCACAACGCTCTCTTGGATTAAAGTCAAATTTCCGCGGGGCAACTATCAGCCGATAGTTCCTCCACAGAAACAGTCTGTTGTTTAACCATTGACTCCCAGAACCTTCCGCGAAAAACGCATTTTTTGGACATTTTGGAGATTTTCAGGCTGGATATGGGCCAAATTAGCTCCAATCTACTCAAAAAGGTCAAAAAGGCATTTGCGACATGACAGCATGCTTTTCTTTTCACTAGCATCGCGTTTTACGAGAGTTTTACGACATGTTTGCTCGGGCATGCGCAGAAATCGTTTTTTTTTAAATTCTTTTTTCGCCTTTCCTTTTTCTCCTTTTCTTATCTTTTTGCTGCATTGATTGGCCTTCTACTGGGCTTGCTTCCAGTTCAAAAAAGTCTGAGAAAGCATCATCGAGACGGGCAATTGTTACCCTGGAGTAGCCACGTGTAGTCGCAGGAAATTTTGCTCGGAGTTTTTCACTCAAATTTCTGAGCATCTTTGTGCATATTTCAGGCTCCATTGAGCCGATCACTTTGATTTAGGTATCATTGGAAAGATCTTTTCGAATTGCTCCTGCAGAAGTTGAGTATAGATAATGCCAATTTTGGTCAAAGCTGATGACATCAGAAGTGGAACAAAGGCCAGGGTCGTCACAGGCGGTTACGGGCGGCACGGGAGTCAATGGATTAAACAGATGGTGGGTAGCATAGCTAATCAAAGAACGGCATTCGTGATAGAACTCTAGTACATTTATACTAAATAGAAAACAACACAGGGACCCAAGTGCGGGCTAATCAACGTAATATGTTGGGACTCTGGATTACAAGGCTGTACAACCTTGATATCCAACCATTATTTTACCGTTCGCAGCGGCAAAAATCAAAAAAGCAAATTCCAAAGTCCAACGCCACTATTCGAGTGGCGATGGATTTCTGTTTCGTCGCCTAGTAGTTTATGTGTGTGTGAAACTGAGCAAATCCTTTGTAAGACGATATATTGACGATATTATAAGAAAGACAGTGGTAAACCAGATTAGTCAAATTGTCGAATCGACAACATTTTCAACCCACCCTCAAAGCCCAGTTGCGCTATATTTTGTAAGTCTCGCGCAAATCGACTTCCGGTATGACGGGACGACAACAAGGGAGACGATTAGTGTCGATTCCATCAAAGAGGCTTCACGAATCGACTTCCGGTAAGTCGAATCGTCAAAACCAGAGACGAATTGACTCTAATTGGATGTATTGGACAACCCTCGCATATGCCGGCGTTTTTTCACTGGTTTTATCTTGACTTTTGGCTTGAAACTGGAGAGTTTCGGAAATCTAAGTATGAGGTCACCTGCCAGAGGAAATATTGCCATTCCATAAGCCTGTGTGAAAATTCCATACTCCTGAAATGCGTCGAGCTCCAGTCCAAACTTCCGCCAACTGTGAATAGAATGCACACAGAGCGCAGCCAAAGTTGCCTCCAGTCGTGTCATTCCCAGCTTGCGCAGGCCAGCAAACCATGACCAGGGCATGGTCGATAGAAGAATTACAAACATCCATCGGAACAGCAAGAGAGGACTGAGAAACCTTCAATGAGTAAGATTAACAAAATTAGGTAGATCTCAGATTGATTGACCAGATTGAGTTATCAACAATTATTCCCCCCCAGGAGCGGATCTAGGGGGAGGGTACAGGGGGTGCACCCCCCTCCCCTGAGATGAAATTTGTTTACCTCACCAGTCAGTTACGCCATTCCTTAGTGGTGCACCCCCTCCTAAGAAAACTCCTGGATCCGCCCCTGCGGATACGCCCCTTTGCCCATTTATGCATCATAAAGTGAGATGGCGTCTTCTTCACAAACCACCAGCAGGGGTGTACAATAATTGGCAGATTTACAAGTCAAAAGAGCAAGTCAGAATCAGTGTCTAAATCCACATTAATTCTATTCAATACTTTACAGTATCAAGGAGAGAAAATAATTTAAGTGTGACTGTGAAGTTAAATCAGCACACCACTTAAAACTGTGCTGTAACTAAATTTTTCAATTTTCCCTGTGGTCAACTGGGCCAGTTGGACAGTAAAGGGAATTTACTTGTTGACGCTGGGTACATAAAGTGTTATTATTAAGACACGGGTATCAAGGGATGACTATTAATATTAGTAATTATTATTATCATCATTATCATTATCATTATCATTGTCATTGTCATTAACATTATCATTATCATTATCATTATCATTATCATTATCATAATTATTATCATTATCATTATTTCATAATTTAGTTGATGTATTTGTTGTGGAGAAAAGTGGCATAAATGAAATAAATTTGGTAATGGGAACCTTCCCACTAGTGACAGCCCATGAAAAAATTAAGGATTGAAGGGTCAAGACCTGGCACTATCAGTGTCATTAAAAAAAAATAGCCTTGATTATATTGTAGGACTTATTTAATAAGAATAATTCTGAGGATACAGAACAGTCGCACCTCTATATTTATGACCTGACCAGCACTTTACAGCAGTTTAATATCTTGATGGATCAATACTAATGTACCCTTAGTCATTAGTGATGTTAAAATACCGGTATCACACAAATGCCCAGTCATTGTGAAAAAAGTTGNAATTTCCTTAATAAGTTACATGGTAAAACTTTTTTCAGCAAAAACTTCAACTGATTCATTAATTAATGGACTTTGCAGCTTTTAAAGGCTTTGAAGATTATAGTTTCCTGAAAAATAAGGGCCCTTTTAATAGTAAAAATTAAGTTCGTCAGTGTATAATTGAATTTAACTTAATCTCTACTGACGCAATCTGACGCAATAGTAAAATGAGAAGGCCATTGAATAGTTCTACAGTTCAATTTGACTAAATAAACTATTATCTTTCGGAAATACAAACTATTTAGAAATTCCTTACAAGAAAGATTATCCCTCATTCAACGTCACGAGACTTACTGATACATATGGTCAAAGGCTGCAGCATTTCCTGTCCAGATGAAGAAAACAAATTCTGCCACCCATGCTTCTAACCGCAACGATTACCAGACAAAACCACAGTGTCGATCGGAAAACTATAAAAGGATTCTTCACTTTAAATCTACACGTCTCAGATGTTGTATTACGCCAAACTGGAATCGTTCCAAAGGTTTAAGGACAGGAAATAATTATTCAAGTAGTATTTGAAAACATCCCGTGGAGTGAAAATATATATAATTAAAGGGAAACAGTTTTTTTTAGTAATCATCAGGGTATACGTAGATAAAAACCCTCGCCCTTATGACGCGGAGAGGAGTACCGACCGAGCGACCAACTCGATTATACGGGATGAGAGGTCTAAGGGGCGACTTTCTGGAAACTAACCCTCGCCTATTTTCTCTCAACTATAACACTAAACAGAAACAGTTTTCATCAGAGTGACTAAAGGAACGAATTACAGAAGTAAAGGATTGGAGACACCTGTAACATAGCAGGGGTGTAAATTCCCATACCTTCTGATAAAACCACACCCCGTTTGTCTTTGACCCTCGATTCTCTACAAGCGTGATTACGTAAAGTATCTCACTTACGGTTCTGTTAAGATCATCAGACCTGAAGTAAATAAACATGGAAACGGATGATAAGCGAGGAAAAATGGGTAGCCCAGTGTAACTTCATCAAACCAAAGATCTGTTGTGCCATTTTGAAGGAGCTCTTTTAAGTAGAGGACTTCCAGCTGATGTGAGTACATATCCCCTCCGTCCGCATAGCCGCTTGCACTTGTTAGGTACGGATTAGAATTTAAAGCCAACGCGACGAAAAGTGACGAACTTACAGAAAACAGAACTAGCAAACTTAACCATGGTGGTATGTCCATCCCATCTTCGTCACCTTCTCGACAAGAATCGGAAGAATGAGATCGGTCGTTCATATTGCGTAGATTTGCAGTCGCAAAGACTTATCGAAGGCTTCCGATGAGATCTTCCACGGCTTCAGATAGAAATGGGTATTTGCCAGAGTCCAGAAGTCGTTTAGCTACTCTTCATTCCAAAAGTTAATTCCCCTCCTACGCAGGAAACACGTAAATGAACCATGCAGCTGGATGATTCACATGCTCCGCTCTCACACTAACGCACAGGGTTGACAGCCCATCTGATTAGCTGTCCGTATTTGTCGGGGTTGGTTTTTGTGTATCCGTTGACGTTTCGTTTTGTGGTTGGGCCTTTGACAGTCACAAAGAGGTAAGGTAACTATAAACCTTGTGTCAGAGAAATTCTTGGTTCCAACACGCGGGAAGGTTCTGTCCCGGGGTCATGACATTTCGACGTTGGTCCTCCATCCCCTGAAATGCCGGCAGTGCTTCTGCTTGGTCAATATAATCCTTCTGGAATGAGCGACCCTATGGACAGAAAAAAAATTCAAATCATACTTTAAAACTGTGGTACTTCACGTCGAAATGTGGACAACTGAACAGACTTGTGATACCATGATGTGACATAACGTGACACAACGTGACAACTTTTACTTCTAACCGCTGGCTGAATGCAGTAGCAACTTGAATGACTCAACAACACGACAAGACGATCGATCAGAATTAACAAGGAAATCATATCATGAAAGAAATTGTATTTTACTACGATGTTGTTTGCCCATTTGCCTACATGGCGAGCAGACTCATAGAAGGTGTTGCAAGCCGAAATGGGGCTAAAATTCTGTGGAAACCTGTTCTCCTAGGTAATTAGTGCCAACTGAGCCTGTCTCATGCATATGCACGCACAAATATTTCAAAGTTCTAAACGAGATATGACTTAATTCATTTGACATCATGTGAGCAGAGTCTTAGCTCTCACTTAAGTTCTTTCCTTGCACATGTCGAATTCATTTGTTTACGTAAAATCTTCAGGAAAGAGGTCTGACATATTTATTCTACTTCATACTTATGAGATAATTTAATTTAACTTCTTGATAAATTAAGTTAAGCTTACTATAATTTTGTACTCCTCCAAAATTTGCCTTTGACGTCATAGAGTACATGCAAAGCTTTCACCTTATATTTGCTGTAGCCATTCAAGGAAATAGCACTATTTTGTTTCCACAAATTATTCTCAGACCACCAACATGCAATCATTTTAGCTGTCAATGTTGTGGCTTCACCAGTGTATGATTCCTTTATAACATAACTCAGAGTATTTGTCTAAAAGCCACTGTTTACATATTTGTCTATTTACCATGGTATGTTTACAAAAGTGCTTGTTAAACAAACAAATATCAATTATGGTGTGAATGAGAAAATCACGTTCAGAGAAGAATGTACAAATTTTGTAGTATTTGACAGATTTTTGGACATGTGAAAGGGTGAAATCTCTTGCCACCCCATTGATTCAAATGTCTAAAAATCTGACCCTTTTATACCTGAATATAAATTTAAAGATTCAAGTGACAAGCATTGATCTTATTTAACTAATATTTTAGTTATGTACATACCTGTATGTTACTAATTTTCAGGTGGCCTGTACAAAGGAACACAGGCACCCCAGGGTACTGCAGGATCTGCTTATGATGCTATGAGTGGTGCAAAAGTAAAGATATTAGCAGATGGTAAGTAGAAAAATGAGTAGAAAAGTCATATTTATTATTAGTCTGGTCAGCTAAATATGTAGAATTGATTTGACATTCATATTTTCAGACTCAATTGACTCGGGTCTCTGCTGAAATGTTTGTTTATTAGTCACTCTGGTTACTTTTAAGTGATAGTAAATAGTATATACAAGATATGTTCAACATCTGGACTGGGTGGTCCAGGTCCAAACCCTGGTCGGGAATTGACATTGAGCTGTGTTCTAATGGGCAAGACACTTAACTTTCACAGTGCCTCTCTCCACTCCACCCAGGTGTTAATAAATGGATTCCAGTGAATTTAATGCTGCACAGTTACCCTGTGATGGACAAGCATTCCTTCCAGGAGGGAGTAGTACTTCTAGTCACTTCATGCTAGAGAAACCGGGCATAAGTGCTGGCCTGATGGGCCACTTGGTTCATATGCAGACTTTACCTTTTAAATATCTTAAGGTGGTCATTGCTACTGGNAAATTTGCCTTTGACGTCATAGAGTACATGCAAAGCTTTCACCTTATATTTGCTGTAGCCATTCAAGGAAATAGCACTATTTTGTTTCCACAAATTATTCTCAGACCACCAACATGCAATCATTTTAGCTGTCAATGTTGTGGCTTCACCAGTGTATGATTCCTTTATAACATAACTCAGAGTATTTGTCTAAAAGCCACTGTTTACATATTTGTCTATTTACCATGGTATGTTTACAAAAGTGCTTGTTAAACAAACAAATATCAATTATGGTGTGAATGAGAAAATCACGTTCAGAGAAGAATGTACAAATTTTGTAGTATTTGACAGATTTTTGGACATGTGAAAGGGTGAAATCTCTTGCCACCCCATTGATTCAAATGTCTAAAAATCTGACCCTTTTATACCTGAATATAAATTTAAAGATTCAAGTGACCAGCATTGATCTTATTTAACTGATATTTTAGTTATCTACATACCTGTATGTTACTAATTTTCAGGTGGCCTGTACAAAGGAACACAGGCACCCCAGGGTGCTGCAGGATCTGCTTATGATGCTATGAGTGGTGCAAAAGTAAAGATATTAGCAGATGGTAAGTAGAAAAATGAGTAGAAAAGTCATATTTATTATTAGTCTGGTCAGCTAAATATGTAGAATTGATTTGACATTCATATTTTCAGACTCAATTGACTCGGGTCTCTGCTGAAATGTTTGTTTATTAGTCACTCTGGTTACTTTTAAGTGATAGTAAATAGTATATACAAGATATGTTCAACATCTGGACTGGGTGGTCCAGGTCCAAACCCTGGTCGGGAATTGACATTGAGCTGTGTTCTAATGGGCAAGACACTTAACTTTCACAGTGCCTCTCTCCACTCCAACCAGGTGTTAATAAATGGATTCCAGTGAATTTAATGCTGCACAGTTACCCTGTGATGGACAAGCATTCCTTCCAGGAGGGAGTAGTACTTCTAGTCACTTCATGCTAGAGAAACCGGGCATAAGTGCTGGCCTGATGGGCCACTTGGTTCATATGCAGACTTTACCTTTTAAATATCTTAAGGTGGTCATTGCTACTGGTTGTATCTCATTATTTCAGACTTAAAGAGGACAAGACTTCACCTTGGGATTAATGCTACAGCACCTTCTGAACATCCTATCAGGACGCTAAATCCCATGCGTCTTTTAGCTGCAGCAGCCCACCTAAATGAAAAAGTGTGTGTTCCTTTAACACACAAACTTTTTGGTGCTTATTGGGTTCATAATAAAGGTACAGTTCTGATTAGAAAATGTGATTTGGAAAGCTCATGTTTAAAGACCCAGGTTTGGCCAGGATGTATTATGTGCTTTGCAGCACTGGAAATAATTTTACAATAGAAACCTTGCTACACCAGTAGACCAAAACAATAACAGATACACAAAAAGTATACTGGTCAATACTGGGTCCTTATTGCTGGGTTTCTTATAACTGACTGTACAGAAAAAACATATAATTACTGGCAGGAGCTATTGATGTAATAATTGTGTAAGTNGAGCCCAGGAAGGCCAAACTGACAATCTACCATGACTTTTCCAGCCCCTGGAGCTACATTGGCTCAACACAGGTATTTCAAATTTATTTAGTAAATTGTTAAATCCAAATAGGTCCACAATGCTGCATAAAAATTTGCAATAAAAATACTTAGGGTGGTTGGAGAAAATTAAGTTTCTGTGTTCTTTTATTAATGCAGTAGCTTGAATCAGCTACCAACATCATACCCCTCCAAAATTGCAAGCACGAATTCCTAAAGATACCGTAATGAAGTTTTCTGAAAAGGAAGACTTGTTGGAATCTAATAAAACATCCACCACACCCCCTTGCCTCTGTCTTCTTTCTCTCTGTACTTCTCCCTCCCCTCTTAGTCCCATGCCCCCCTCTCCTTGCTCATTAAGAACAATTGAAAGTGTCTTTTCCTCACTTAGCCAGAAACAAGAAAAGCAAAGAAAAAAAAACCACAGAATCATTGTTTAGAGTCAGTTTATTTGGAGGGTGTACAGTATTTTCTCCTGGCAAAAATGCATATATTGCTGAGGATATCTGACATGACAATAATCTTTGTTACCCAGATCCCCAAGTTACTGTCAGAAGTTCATCCAGTTTCAGTTGAAGTGGAATGGGTACCAATTGTGGTTGGTGCATTGTTTCAGAAGATAGGAACACCAGTGGTTAGTAGCTAAACCGCCCAAATGGTTGGGTTTCGACACTCGTGAGCAGAGTTGCAGGGTTGCTCCCAGCGTTACATCATGTAAATTCACCGGACCCATTTTTACACCTGGGTGGAGAGAGGCACTCTGAGAGTAAAGTGTCTTGCTCAAAAACACAATACAATGTCCCCGGCCAGGGCTCGAATCTGGACTGCTCGATCCGGAGCCGAGCGCACTAACCATGAGGCCACCGCGATTGAATTTGAAATTACTTTCTTTCAAATTATACTAATATGGAAAATTGGAAACAATAATGCCAGAAAAGTCCATTCGACACACCCACTTATGTCATTTATGTTTGGTGATTTACGTTAACTAAAATATCCTTTTCATTGCAACCAGGTTCCAATGCAAGCAATCAGTGAAGCAAAGAGAAACTATGGAAGAAAAGACCTTCTTGACTGGGCCAAGTATCGTCAGGTTGAATTCCAGTTCACTTCTCATTTTCCACTCCGTTCTGTTCTTCCGCTGAGAGTTACTCTCGTTAACCCAGACGACCGATTGCGACAAACCATATGTAAGTGGTGCAAATGAAAATACAGTTCAACCCCTATTAGACGGCCACCCTCGGGGAGCTGGATTAGTGGCCGCTTAAGGCACGCCGGCCGTTTGATAGAAGTAGAAACAATAGAAAAGCCCTCGTCGGGACTTTGATTACTGGCCACCTAATAAGGGTAGTCGTTTACTATGGGTGGCCGCTTAATAGGGGTTCGACTGTATATACATGTAATGTATAAATAACCTACAAAAAATGATGGGCGACAAAAGTAGTCAAGACACTTTTTGGGAGATGACGCTTCCTTCGATATTTAACCTCTTATTCTATTTCATTTGCACCTCATTTGCATTTCATTTGCGTTAATTTTCTGATACCCCTGGCTCCCCAATTCAATGTTGTATAGTTTCTGTGGTCTGTCAACTTTCCAGTCTTAGAAAGAGAAAAATCAACATTGTTTGGAGGAAAGGGCGGGGGAATGTTTCCAAGACGCTGGAAAATCGATACTTACTGCGAAGTATCTCAACACTTGCCGCTCACTGTAGTTTACAAATTCAGTTGTAATCACCGTGGTACAGTAGATTCACACCCTTGTTGTATTTCTGAATGACGCAAATTAGGTGAACGAGACGCTTAAAACTAGTGTTCTTTAAAACGCCAGAACTGTAAAAAGTTCATTCAGCTTCCGTGGTTAAATAAAGTGTTATGTATGCTATATGACTTCTAGTAAGGCTTGGACACTCTCTCTTTTGATCTCTTGCTGTTATGTAATGAGTGGAGTTCTTTTTCTTCTGCAGATGAAGCTGGCTGGCGACATGATGGGAACATTGGCGATCCTCAGGTGATTTTTGCATATTTGTCAGTCACCTTTAGCGACCCGTGCAGTTATTCATGCGGCTTGTCACCTAAGGTTTTCCAACAGGATTGCGTGAATGATTTAAAGAAAGTCTGCACACTTGACTACGTGTGCACTTGACCTCCAGCTAGTCCCCAGTACTAAAGCACTAATGCCAAGGTCCGGAGGTCTGGGTTCTAGTAATTCCTTATTTTGTTACAGTCCTGCAAACATGGCAGGCTTGTCACTTCTAGAGCCCTCCCCTCCCCCCCAAAAAACACACCTCATTCTTTCGTTTTACTTGTACAAGGTGCTGTGTATTTCTCTACTGTGTACAAAGTACATCCCTTGTACGATCGGTCATCGATCCTTTGCAGTCGTCCGTTGAGTCGTCTCGCAGCTTTTGGCGTTACATGGTGTCACATAACGACTCAAAACAAATGAACCTTGTTGACGATGTTACCCTTTTCCGATTTTTTCATTCAAAGAGAAACTAAGCCTCATCGCTCCATGTATCAAGCTGAATTTAGTTTCAGGAGAATCCGTTGCAACCTCATGAAAATATGCGATCCCAAACTTGGAGGTTTTTCAAGTCTCTTTGGAGCTGATGTTTTGCTTGCATGAAAAATACGAAAAATTGTTTATATTGCGAGACATTGTCACAAAGGCCAATTTGTCGCGCTGCAACTGAGGGCTAGCGCTCAAAAATAAAGATCTTCAAATATGCTCTACATTTCTCCAGCTACAATCGCTAGAAGTGCTTGTTACGAAAAAACACTGAAAGGTAATCAATGCTTCCACAGGTTTTATCTTCAGTTCTCTCTGAAGCCGGCTTTGATGGCGAGGCGTTGATAGCAGCAACTCAAGATCAACAAATCAAAGATCAGTTACGAATAAACACTGAAAGGTAATCAACGTGGTGTTATGCAGTACCTCACAAGTTATCATGTTCGACTCAGCAGAGAAATTGTGAAGGTCTTGGTCAGAGGAGAACCAGCTTGGACTCTCTGTTGATCTCGTTTCTCAGCCGGTCTCACCTTGAGTCGACTCTTGTGTTCCCTAATCGAATTTGAACCTGCTGAAATTCTTCGTGAAAGTCTTCTCTCGTTTGATCCAGGCACTCACTGAAATTTTAACGAAACTCCCGCGCAATTCTTTCCTTAAACTCTCGAACACTGTTCGCCTGCAAGCAGGCTCTTCGCGGACAAAGAAAGGAGAGTAAAGGGAAAGAAGAGCCTGCACGCACCGCTTTGAATTCTAAATGGCCCGTCCACATTTCCCCTTTCCTCTCCTCACATTCCCTGCGAAGAGCGTGCTCGCAGGCAAAGTGAAGTTCTGAGAATGCGTTGATTTCCTTTCCATGTTCTCATTACCTCTACCTTGTCAATGTGTTGATTTTTAATTGAGAACTCAGATTTCGATCATTCTTGAAAATTTTAAGAAAACTAGACACCTGTAGCGAATTTTAAATTGCAATCATATAGTCGTCAAGTGGAGCTTAACGACCCGTTCTTTTTTTCGTTCTTGTGTGTAGAGCATTCGCTGCCGGACTGTGTGGGGTTCCAAGCTATCAAGTCAACAATGGATCTGTGGTGTGGGGACAAGATAGACTGAACATTATTGCCGACATGTTGTGTGGTTGGGAAGACCACTTAAAACCAACCACCAGTAACAGCAAACTTTAAAAATAATTCAGTCGATATGTTAGAGCACAGAAACAATATTCCATGCCATACTGAACACAAATGGACGGCTTTGATTGGCTTACACCCTTGATGTCACACATCTAAGAGATCTTACCCAGAATCACCAGCGCACCTCAAAGAATCCAAAGAAACATCTTTGAAGTACATCACTACTGAAACACTGTAATCAAAGTTCTGTTTGAATAATGGCCGTTGAGTGTGCTTTATCTACTGTTGGATAAACGAGTTGCAGTG